ATTCTACACACCAGAACAACTACCCACAGTGAACTGTTCACAGATGAACACCTGTTTGTGGCCTGTTGATCTGGATGGATGTGAATGCTGGACAATCAGTGATGACATGTTAGAGAAACTAATGGCAGTGCTGCTATTGAGTTTTGTTTGTTAGATGAAATTCTGACGGCTGTGGCTGTGACCAGATCATGACCATAAAGAACAGACACTGGGAATTTATGTGGCATATCAACAGAAAAGACGGAACAGAGACTTAAATCAGTTTTGCGAAATTACCAGGCCAGAGAATGAATCAGTGAACAAACATACTTTATTTTCATAGTGTCACTAATTGGGCACGTATACTGGCTTACATTAGACCTTTCCAAATATTCATCTTTCACACAGAAAGGTTTATCTGTAAAGCATGTTATGTTCATATAACAATAAGCATAAATGAATAACAATTAAAATACACAAACGCATGGATGGTATATGAATACATTGATACATACACATGTAGCTAACTTCCTAGGTACACATACATTTCAACACACACCCACTTACACATGATGCATGCATACAAACACTCATACATACATGCACACACTCATACATACCCGCACACACTCACACATTCATACACACACTCTCATTTGTACACACTCATGTATACTCACACACACACTTTCATTTGTACACTCATATATACACACACTCTCATTTGAACACACTCATATATACTCAAACGTACACTCTTATGTATACACACTCATATATACTCATACATACACTCTCATTTGAACACACTCATATATACTCATACATACACTCTTATGTATACACACTTATATATATTTATACATACACTCTCATTTGAACACACTCATATATACTCATACATACACTCTCATTTGAACACACTCATATATACTCATACATACACTCTCATTTGAACACACTCATATATACTCATACATACACTCTTATGTATACACACTCATATATACTCAAACATACACTCTCATTTGAACACACTCATATATACTCATACATACACTCTTATGTATACACACTCATATATACTCATACAAACACTCTCATTTGAACGCACTCATATATACTCATACATACACTCTTATGTATACACACTCATATATACTCATACATACACTCTTATGTATACACACTCATATATACTCATACATACACTCTCATTTGAACACACTCATATATACTCATACATTCACTCTCATTTGAACACACTCATATGTACTCATACATACACTCTCATTTGAACACACTCATAGGTACTCATACATAAACTCTTATGTATACACACTCACATATACTCATACATACACTCTCATTTGAACACACTCATATATACTCATACATACACTCTCATTTGAACACACTCATATGTACTCATACATATACTGATAAATTAACCTTCTAGAGGCAGAGGAAGAAAACATGTATGTGGAAAGCCTAATATAATATTTCACATGACAGAGAGGATTGGAGAGTCATCAGTGCTGATGTCTGCTAACAGAGAGGATTGGAGAGTCATCAGTGCTGATGTCTGCTAACAGAGAGGATTGGAGAGTTATCATGCTGATGTCTGCTAACAGAGGATTGGAGAGTCATCAGTGCTGATGTCTGCTAACAGAGAGGATTGGAGAGTCATCAGTGCTGATGTCTGCTAACAGAGAGGATTGGAGAGTCATCAGTGCTGATGTCTGCTAACAGAGAGGATTGGAGAGTCATCAGTGCTGATGTCTGCTAACAGAGAGGATTGGAGAGTCATCAATGCTGATGTCTGCTAACAGAGAGGATTGAAGAGTCATCAGTGCTGATGTCTGCTAACAGAGAGGATTGGAGAGTCATCAGTGCTGATGACTGCTAACAGAGAGGATTGGAGAGTCATCAGTGCTGATGTCTGCTAACAGAGAGGATTGGAGAGTCATCAGTGCTGATGTCTGCTAACAGAGAGAATTGGAGAGTTATCAGTGCTGATGGCTGCTAACAGAGAGGACTGAAGAGTCATCTCCGGCTTCAATAGCTACACTTTTTAACATATGCTTGAGTAGCTACACCTTTTGACATATGCTTCAATAGCTACACCTTTTGACATATGCTTCAATAGCTACACCTTTTGACATATGCTTCAAAAGCTACACCTTTTGACATGTGCTTCAATAGCTACACCTTTTGACATATGCTTCAATAGCTACACCGTTTGACATATGCTTCAATAGCTACACCTTTTGGCTTGTTATTTTTAATCAGCTATGATTGTTGTTTATCCTTCTTATTCTTCTTTTTGTCTTTATCTTCTTCTCCTCCACCTCTCCACCTTCTCGTCCTGGTCCTTCTTCTTCTTCTTCTTTTTCATCTTCTTCATTTTCTTCTTCTTCTTCTTTTTCTTCTTCTTCTTCTTCTTCTTCTTCTTCTTCTTCTTCTTCTTCTTCTTCTTCTTCTTCTTCTTCTTCTTCTTCTTCTTCTTCTTCTTCTCATCCTTCTCCTCATTCTACACTGTCTCCACTGATGGAGCACAGGCCTTCTGTCACCTCACTGCCAGAGTTAGCAACGAATGTACAGTAGTCAAGTGTGTACATTGTCGTATGAAGTCTGTTTTTGTTATGGGAATACCAAACCTGTAAACACTTGCCATCAATAATTAACACCCCCCCCCCCCAGTAAATTCAAAAGAAGAAAAGTAGTATTATGTACATATATACACACTCACAAATTTGTGCGCGCACGCACACACACACAGCTGAATGATAGCCCTCACACACGTACACTTACACACACAAACTATACACACACCACCTGTCTCATCTCTAACTCAAAATAGATCATTTAGAAAGATGGTACTGTACTTTTGATCTCCCATTAACTGTGTCAGAGCGAGCAGTTTTATCGTACGTTAGTGGGTAGGTTGTTTGAACCACATCTCATCTAGGCACCTCAGAACTACTCAGCTCAGCACACGGGAGGTGATTACCTGGCATAATTGCACAAATGAGTCTCACAGTTGCCAGTGTTTGGCACGTTGTGGCTCTCTCATCGCCGGTTATGGCTCTCTCACCGTCGGTTGTAGCTCAGTGTCGGTTGTCTCATGAAAGGGTAGTTAGAGCTAACAAGTGTCAGTACTCAGCTACAGATTGTGTAGGTTGTTGTTTTCTGGCACAGCAAGTTTCTACTCAGAGTTGCTTCAACTCTGCTAGTTATCTTTTAAGTGGTTCTTGGAATCCTTTCATCTCAATGGTTATGTGGAATCCCTTCACATTAGAGCAATGGCTCTCAACCTTCCCAATGCCACAACCCTCTAATAAAGTTCCCTCATGTTGTGGCGACCCCCAAACAATTAGTTTTCTTCCCAACTTCAATGAATATGTGATTTCAGATAGTCTGGGGTGACCCGTGTGAAAGGGTCGTTCTACCCCCCCCCCCCCAAACAAAGGGTCGCGACCGGCAGGTTGAGATCGGCTGCATTAGAGGATTGTCAAATGTTAATGGCGGCTTAGGCAAATCAATTGTAGCTAGAAGATTTGGGAAAGTTGATCTCTGTTGCACCCAGACTGCTTCTTAAGGACGTCTGTCTCATCTCACAGAGCATACAGTGAGGCCATCAACACAGTGCACAACCAATGTAAGACCGGCGTCATTAACAATGTTCACTGTCACTGCTGTATATTTTACTTTCTATGTGTGTAGACCGGGGGACATGAGAATGAGGATTAAGGGCCGCATGGCTAGTGCTTTCGCCACAGGCTATTCAGGTTAGGATGTTTAATTTTGCCCCCGACAGAAAAACTTCATCACCTTACCGGGGGTCGAACCCGGGTCTCCCTCATGAGAGTGAGACTTTGTTGTAACCAGTCGACTAACCACAACAACTACTATGCTGCTGCTGCTACTACTACCACTGCTGCTAAAATGAGCAGATTATTCTTGCGGGCATAGCGGTTACTGCGACTTCCCCGACATGGGCAGTAGTGATGTCATCAATGTGAAGTGAGATTCATAAGATCGTGTCGAGGCGGAAGTGCAGCCTGGAGCAGCCAGACAATAATATTTCACCAAAAGCAACGAACCTCCATCCCCATAACGAAATAATGTATTATCTCATACAGCTTTATGCCGATTTTTGAGGTCAACAATCAAAGTTAATTTACCAGCGGAAGTACTTGCTAGTAGAAGAAAAAAAAAAAACGCGGCAACGAAAACAAAATCCTGTCGTCGAAAACAAAACAAGATGCAGATGTGATCGTCGCTGGAACTATGCAATTCGTGTTTGGTGCGACACTCTTATATAAAAACACGCGCGTATTCGAATGCAACAGTATATCAGTATCTGAAAGCAATCGGTGAAGAACTTTCGGAGATAAACGATTAGCTACAAACGAACATTAAGATTTTTATTTATATAGATTATACTGTACTGTTTGTCGCACGCCGCCTTATAGCACAGCATAAGATTATCTATCGTTTGGAAGGAGAGAAAAAGGGCCAACATGATAACAGTAAATGTTTGTGAGTTGAGACCTGGTTGTAGCGTACATCTGTTGTTTGTTGGTTTCAATGCGAGTCTCAAATTAACCCGGCCGTCAACATCTGTTGACGAGCACATGCAGCGTGAGCCAGGTGTTGCGTGTCAGTGCTCTCGGTTATTCGTCTCTAGTTTATTTGTTCGCTTGCATTATCCATGTGGGTTCCCGTGCCCCATTGGGGGGGGGGGGGCGGGAGATTGGGGATGGGTTCAAAATAATAGACCCACTGCCTTTAACAAGCATGTCGTGAAAGGCGACAAAGTGTTTTCTTTGAGGTCGCAATGCATTTGCCTGAGAGGTGAGGAACCATCAGTCGGTATGGAAAATAAAGATGGGGGGGAGGAGGGGGGGGGGGGGGGGACTTGCCAGATATGTAACTCGGATATGCAGGCCAAACTCAAGTTCTGGAACAAGACTTAAGTCCAAAGGCGGAAGTACAACCAGAACTTTCTGTCAATTTTACACCTGGTGAGTGCTAAGAAAAAGTAGAAGATGGCCTACACGAAAAGCTGCAGACGTGGTGGTCGACTGATTGGATGTGTCACTGAGACTTCTGGATGCTGCAGGCGTGGTGGTCGACTGATTGGATGTGTCACTGAGACTTCTGGATGCTGCAGGCATGGTGGTCGACTGATTGGATGTGTCATTGAGACTGCTGGATGCTGCAGACGTGGTGGTCGACTGATTGGATGTGTCACTGAGACTTCTGGATGCTGCAGACGTGGTGGTCGACTGATTGGATGTGTCACTGAGACTTCTGGATGCTGCAGACGTGGTGGTCGACTGATTGGATGTGTCATTGAGACTGTTGGATGCTGCAGGCGTGGTGGTCGACTGATTGGATGTGTCATTGAGACTGCTGGATGCTGCAGGCATGGTGGTCGACTGATTGGATGTGTCACTGAGACTGCTGGATGCTGCAGGCGTGGTGGTCGACTGATTGGATGTGTCACTGAGACTTCTGGATGCTGCAGACGTGGTGGTCGACTGATTGGATGTGTCACTGAGACTGCTGGATGCTGCAGGCGTGGTGGTCGACTGATTGGATGTGTCACTGAGACTTCTGGATGCTGCAGGCATGGTGGTCGACTGATTGGATGTGTCACTGAGACTTCTGGATGCTGCAGGCGTGGTGGTCGACTGATTTGATGTGTCATTGAGACTGCTGGATGCTGCAGGCATGGTGGTCGACTGATTGGATGTGTCACTGAGACTTCTGGATGCTGCAGGCGTGGTGGTCGACTGATTGGATGTGTCATTGAGACTGCTGGATGCTGCAGGCGTGGTGGTCGACTGATTGGATGTGTCATTGAGACTTCTGGATGCTGCAGACGTGATGGTCGACTGATTGGATGTGTCATTGAGACTGCTGGATGCTGCAGGCATGGTGGTCGACTGATTGGATGTGTCATTGAGACTGCTGGATGCTGCAGGCATGGTGGTCGACTGATTGGATGTGTCACTGAGACTTCTGGATGCTGCAGGCGTGGTGGTCGACTGATTGGATGTGTCATTGAGACTGCTGGATGCTGCAGGCATGGTGGTCGACTGATTGGATGTGTCACTGAGACTTCTGGATGCTGCAGACGTGGTGGTCGACTGATTGGATGTGTCATTGAGACTTCTGGATGCTGCAGGCGTGGTGGTCGACTGATTGGATGTGTCATTGAGACTGCTGGATGCTGCAGGCATGGTGGTCGACTGATTGGATGTGTCACTGAGACTTCTGGATGCTGCAGACGTGGTGGTCGACTGATTGGATGTGTCATTGAGACTGCTGGATGCTGCAGACGTGGTGGTCGACTGATTGGATGTGTCATTGAGACTGCTGGATGCTGCAGGCATGGTGGTCGACTGATTGGATGTGTCACTGAGACTTCTGGATGCTGCAGACGTGGTGGTCGACTGATTGGATGTGTCACTGAGACTGCTGGATGCTGCAGGCATGGTGGTCGACTGATTGGATGTGTCACTGAGACTTCTGGATGCTGCAGACGTGGTGGTCGACTGATTGGATGTGTCACTGAGACTGCTGGATGCTGCAGGCATGGTGGTCGACTGATTGGATGTGTCATTGAGACTGTTGGATGCTGCAGGCGTGGTGGTCGACTGATTGGATGTGTCACTGAGACTGCTGGATGCTGCAGGCATGGTGGTCGACTGATTGGATGTGTCATTGAGACTGTTGGATGCTGCAGGCGTGGTGGTCGACTGATTGGATGTGTCACTGAGACTGCTGGATGCTGCAGGCATGGTGGTCGACTGATTGGATGTGTTACTGAGACTGCTGGATGCTGCAGGCGTGGTGGTCGACTGATTGGATGTGTCATTGAGACTGCTGGATGCGGCAGGCGTGGTGGTCGACTGATTGGATGTGTCACTGAGACTGATGGATGCTGCAGGCGTGGTGGTCGACTGATTGGATGTGTCATTGAGACTGCTGGATGCTGCTGGCGTGGTGGTCGACTGATTGGATGTTGTGACGTGACGCGTGGTTTAAATGTTTATTAATGTTGAGTAGGGATGTTCCTCTCAACACATTCCCTCCACCAGATACACCGAACTAAAATCTGAGCTATGTTGCTCTCAGACAAAGTCCTGGATATCCAAGAAAACAGCCATATTGGCTCGTTAAGTACATTAACATAAGCTGAACTTGGTGCCCACAAAAGAAGGAAAGGAATTTTAGATGTCTATCATTATACTAAATGAATTAAAGAATTATTATCATATTAATTGAGCCCCTACCAAATGTTATTCTATCTATCAGTTTATTTAAACAGGTAAGACTGAATACACTTGGAATTTAACAAACGATGTAGTATAAAACTTGACATACAGCTTTATTTACTAACAATGATATTCCCAGTTTGTTGTGTTTACACAAACAGTGACTGGATAATGATAGTGATAATGATAGTGATCAGCTTCAGCGAGAAAACAGCTCCGGGGTTTAGAGTGGTAGAATGATATCGATATGTTAAGTCAAAATAGGTTAACTTAGCTTAAAAGCCTCTGACAGCCGCGAGGAACTGTCAAGCTTGTCCAACTCCTCCTTGCCTGTTTTCTGCCTGTTTCAGCTTATTCTCCACTTCATCCCCACCTCGTTCTCCACATCGTTCCCACCTCGTTCTCCACCTCGTTCCCAGCTGGCCGAGTCTAACACAATGTAGTCTCTTTCATGCACTGATCGTCACATGGGCGCTGTAATCATGGAAACAAACACATACGTGTAGAGAGACTTACACTAAGAATACATGTATCTTTTAATATAACATATAAGAATAAAATATATCCCATCACTCCTCCTCATATTCAACATGCTCTCCAGTCTAGTCTGAAGGTCTTTTGTCTTACATGGGCGTCACATATCCTGCCTTCCTCTCTCATGCTATGTCATGATAGTTGACTTTCTAAGTCTGTTGTCCGTCATCATTCAGACTTCCAACGGGCTGACATTGATTTGACATAAACATGTGGCGCAGGTTATGTGCTGAACACGCAAACAATTTATATGTGCACGCTGTCCTGAATAATATCTTTCAGTGACCGTGAATTCTATACACCCATCATTCTTCCCCTGGGGTTATAAATCCCCTGTTTAGGTGAACACATTAAGCGAGCACATGGTGGGCACACAAAACGTAGCAGCATCCCTGCACATATTTGGGCATCATTTCCCACAGTCCCAACTCATATTTTGGCTGATCATGAAAACAATATAATTACATTTCATTATAGCAAATGTCATTGTTCACATCTTATTTTATACACATGAAAGAAAACATACACTGAAAAACATGTGACACAAACATACAAGAAATAGGAATAGTTTAGCAGTTCCCTAACTGAGATACTGAATACTCACAAAGAACTATTAAAATTAATATTCACCTGGGAACTTTCCAGCAAATGCCAAACACGACTCAACCAGTGAGAAAGTACTTTTCAACGGTAGTTCTGAGTCTGTGGCCTGCTGGCGGCACTATGAGGTAAATCTACAATGTTCGCAGTATAAGTATTAATCTATTGTCCAAATTAAACTCCTCCCTTTACTGGGTTCTGCCCAACCCTCAAGACGATGACTTACGCCCCGCCTCTGAGGTAACTATCAGATCTACTTGGCTAACCAGTGACCTGTCACTCACAGTGAACGGCCTACAGTACGACCTTGACCAAGATAAAACATTCCTAATTGCCAAACACCTGTTCTCTCCAGAATTACACTGACGTGTTAAACGTGTTAATCTTCTCGTCGCCTCTATGTCTAGAGTCCGCTCAATCTGTGTTAGGTAATCTTTATGACCTACGGTCCAGCTCAGGGAAGGTGTGATACAAAGTTCCCCGTTCGCTGGCCTCTACAGTGTGGTCAGGAGATAACATTCATGACATGGGCATGTGAAAGGAAATTCTCTAGCCCCGGTGTAATTGCGTAACATTACCCAAGACTCAGTCGCTTTGTCTGGACTAAGGACTGGAAACATTTAAATCAATACGGTTTAAAGTAACATTTGGTTTAAGGGCATAGGCTCTTGTCTCTCAATAACCAGAAGAACTTATTACAAGTACTAACTTCTGGAATCACTGAGATCGTTTCGTGACAGATGTGTTACTGAGACTTTTGAATGCCTCACAACCTGACCATATTGTCTTAGTTCTCTGTACAGTTTTGTTAAGATAACCTTTTATCCAAGAGAACCTGCTTGTGACGGACAGCTGATTGTGACTTTTTGTGACGGAACAGCTGATTGTGACAACTGTTTGTGACGGAGCAGATGATTGTAACAGCTGTTTGTGACATAACAGCTGATTGTGACGACTTTTTGTCACGGGACAGCTGATTAAGACAACTGTGCAGAACAGCTGCTTGTGACAACTATAAAGATGTTGAGGAATGTCTGTGACGGAGCATGTGATTAGTAAGGGTTATCATCACAGCACTCCGGACAGATCCATAGGTTCTCCAGTCTCCTCCTCAAATGCTCCACAAGTGTAAAACGGCTTCGCTTGCCTCGAATTGCTGATCAGTCTGTGTAAACTGTAGCATTACCTTCATCTGTGTTTTCGTCAGTCAGTGTTTTGACTAAAGTGTCCACAAGGCTAGTAGTCTGCTCCCTCAGCTTCCATCATATGTGATGTGGACTGTCGTGTGAATGTTTGCAGCAGGAGGTAACGATTCAACTCCAAAAGTAATGCCAGTAAAGCGGCAAACGTGTTCGATGTTGTCCTCGGCGTGACCCATCTAGGATTGTCCTGGTCGAAGTCTGTTCTTTTTATTTTGCTTAGATTATTCCTCATGAAGTCGAGCGTCTGATTTCACTTGAAGGAAAGCTGTGGCTCTAGATATCTTGATTCTGTTTTTCATTGTAGGGAAATCGAAGAGGTATCGCATGGATTTAAGAAGGTGTCTCAAGTGCATCCAAGAATAAAACGTGTTACCTCATTCTCAATGTTTTGTCCCCCAGTCTATCAACAACTGTCTGATCTCACCAGTGTTGTCTTACAAAGTAACCTATAGCCACCACCACACTGCAAGTAACCTATAGCCACCACCACACTGCTATCATCTACATTTAGGGCTCCTGAAGCTCTCGGTCCAGCCAGACCGTGTACAAACAACAACTGAGATGGTCGTGCCTGCAACCCCGGCTGTCGCCTTACCTCGCTTGTACAACACCGAGCACTAGGACGGCTCAGTCCTGTGCGATTGTTGTATTAGGAGCAGGGTGTGTGGATGTGGGCACTTTAACCTTACCAGGTCCTGGCAGTCGCCTGGGCTCACCTCTACACAAACAGCAGTGGACCTATTCTTAGCCACACACTGTTTTTCCCCTGTCCTTGATTCTGTGTCATGTTCTAATACGTCTTGGCTAGTGATACTATGGCGACCAGCCACCATGTGTCTGATTGTTGATTCGTGCGCTCCCTGCAGTCCTTGCAAAGGGTTGTTAGACACTTTGTCTCTGGCAGATAAAACAGGCTCAACCTACACCGTTCATGGCGACAACACAAACCACGCGGTCCTAAATTCCCAGGCCCAACAAACAAGTCTCAGGAGAACATAAGAGACTATGACTGGG